AAAAAAAAAAAAAAAAAAAAAAAAAAAAAAAATCATCGCTAAGTTTGAAAACTGAATGAAAGATGATATGCATGCTTATATAAACTACGCGTGCAGTTTTGCAAAATAAAAAGAAAAGAAATGACTACAAATTAAAAAGATATAGATATATATTTACAGAAATTAATTGGGAAAAATGTTGTTATGAAAAATAAATATATAAATAAAAATTAAATAAATTAGTCTACTTTTGAACAATAAAAGGTTACCTATATCCCTACGTGTTCAAACCCTAGTGAACTGGTAGTATCCTATGATTTGTTTTGATGGAAAATGGGAAAAGACAAAAGCAATTACTCCTTGGGCTTTTCAAGAAAGGGAAAAGGAATCCAAATAAAGAAAAATCTTTTCCTCTTAACTGCACACTAAGAACTATTATTCAAATTCTTTTAAAAATGAATAAAATCTTTTCCTCTTAGCTGCACACTAAAGAAAAATCCCTACTATTAACTGTAGTGGTGGGTTTGCTTTGATGTGGTGTGTGGTGGTGGTGGTTTTGCACGGTTTGGTGGAGGTGGCCGTGGTCATAGTGGTTGTAGCGATGGTGTGGTGGATGGGAATGGGATGGGGTGTTTGTGATCAATAAATTTGTTAATTTATGATCAATAAATAATACGCGAACTAAAAAATGTGATCGTTTCTCACAATTTATTAAGTTGTTATTGAAAAATCATTTGTGACGAATTTATAATTTGTGATCGATAAATAAATTGTGATCTATAAAAAATTTATTTCTGTGATCGATGAATAAATTGTAACCTATAAAATTTTTTTATTTATGATTGAGGAATAATTTGTGACCTATAAAATTTTTCATTTGTGATCTAGAAATAATTTGTAACTAATTAATTCGATAATTTGTAATCAAATTGTATAAATTTGTGATCTTAATGTATTTAATTAATTAAATCATAAATAAAATTTATAATATCTAATTTTTGAAATTTTAAACTTTATTTCTTAGTTTTGAAATGAGTAATAGTTAAAGTCTTAGATATGAATTTTTTCCTTATATATTATACATGGACTTAACTTGTTTTACCAAAAAAAAAAAAAAGGACTTTATTATTGTGGGAGCTTATTTTTCTGTTTCTTAACAAATGTCCCTCTTTTGTAAAAGAAAACAAATATTACAAATGTAAGAAAAATAAAATGCAATTTGAGGAAAGGACTTTACTTTTCACTTTATTCGTCACTTTTTATAACTTACTTTTTATAAGCTCATATCGACCCATAAGAGTACAAGTGCTAAGACTTTTACACACACACAGATAAAAAAATTTAATATTTTAAGATGTGAATTTACTAGCATTATGAAGATAAATTTTTTTAACCAAAGTATGAAATAGTACTCGTAATCGAATATTTGAGTAAGTAATCTCTTAGATTTTCCATTACGAATACTTAATAAAATACCGTAGAATTATCTATAAACTTATAAAATATCAGTGGTTGGAATGGAGTAAGTGGCCCGCGCCAAAATTGACCTACGTAATGTAAATTTATAAGTATGCAATATCCAGTTAAATAATGCGTTATCTATACATATCTTAATTTGGTCCTCAACTATTAAAAAGTATCATTTAGATCTTAAAATTTTTATTTTTGTAGCAGTTAGGTCCTTGATGGACGACTTTACTCTTGATTAAATCACACTATTGATGATCCAATTATAATAAATAATATCGTAATAACAACACAAGCAGTACAATAGACTACAATACATAACAAATCTCGAGGCACTATTTTGATCAAAATTTGACCATCAACTCTATAAAAAATCTGTGAAGTAGGACACAATTTTTCGGTTCATTATGAGAAGGCTAATTTCAGCTCAATTGTAGTAACTAAATTTTAAAAATAATAAATTTTGCTATAAGCAATTATTACTAAAATTTTTGATCAATTAGTTTTTCTTTTCTCCTGGAGTATCCCAATTCTCATCAATGGAAGAGAAGATGAGTTCCATGCTATTGTTGCTGCTACTACCAGAATTAAAAATAGCATCAGCCAAATCAGACACCGGCTGGTAGACAGGAAACTGCGGGCCAGACGGACCCGCACTGCCACTACCACCAGCAGCTACACTGCTACTACTACTAGGCCCGGCACCACCAGGGTATTGAAATGCTAGAGTATCGAAACTGGTGGGTGCAGCCTCCACTTCTGGCGGTGGCTTTATTTCCATAGACAACCAATGGCTTAAGGGTGGCTGCATGGTGGTGGTGGTTTGTGGAATTGTCCCGTGTTCAATAGGTGTTGGTACGGACACGAATGGGGTGGTGGAGGAGATGTTACACGTGTGATTGCCTCGATATGTTACCTCGAATGTGTAGAAATCATCGTTAAGCCGTTGGACTTGCTTCTTGGCCGGGCATTGGTAAAGTCTTTGATGGGTGCATCGATAGTAGCTCCTGAAATGTGAGGATGAAAATTGGAAATGGTCAAACATTAATTTTAACTACAAATTTCATAGAATTCGTAAGTAGTTACCACTTTTTTCATCACTCATTTCTTGAAAAGTAAATTTTTATGAAATAGAATGAAACCCAAACCACCCCCAAGACTCTTTCATATGCCCCTTTTTGAGGTATCATTTTCATTGGTTAGGCTACATAGCAAAAGAAGAGAACTTAATTGAGTAGTAGCGTGCCAGGGAACCAGATAGGGATTGTAATTCTTTTCACTTCTTTGTCTAGGTATAATGAAAGATAGAGAGGTTCGACTCGAAAGGAAGTCATTGCATAGCTATGAAACACGTCTGATCCTTCACATTTTCATTTCTTTAGACTTTATCATGTTATTTCTCCATTAGAATGAAATGGTAATTAAATATTTTATATATATATATATATATATATATATATATACCTTGGATGTCTACATCCCAAAATCTCCTTTTGACCATATTTTCTCCAAGTAAAACCGTCTTCCGGTGGAAGATCAAGATTTCCCATCTGAGGAGCAGGTACCCGTTCCACTATTTTGTCAGCTTCATCCTTTCTATACAACCAAAAGTAAAAGAACCCATTAACACATGGGAAAGATATAGATGTTTCGGTAATTTGTACACTAGAGGGTAGAAATACAAAATTTTTGAAAAAATGAAACAACAAGAGAAATACCTGATGTGCTGCATCAATCAAGTGTGAAAGCAAATGATGCAAAATGGCCAAAATAGTTTATCTAAGAGCTTAAGATAGATATAAATTGTCTTCAACACACCAGGTTATTTTTTTCTTGTCAAAGACTTAAAAATGTGCACTATTTTCATAAATAAACGGTGGCAAAACTTGAATGCAACACATTTGAAATGTTGTGATCCATGTTGAAAGTGTGTTGACATGAGCTAAGCCTATAATATTTTTCTAGTATGATGAATAGATGGTTATAGATTAGTGTCCCTCTAAGGAGAACTTACTTTGTAAGAACATTGCCGAAGTTTCTTACCTTTTTCTGCGTCTTTGAGAAGGAGAAGTCTCCGGGCTGGGATTCGATGCATCCACCGGCTTAATCTCCAGTCCACGACCAGCCCTCAACCCCTGTGCATCACCTTCCATAACTCTTTCACCACCCATTTGATGGCCTATGAATTCAAAACCGTGGGCGTCATGATATTGGCTGCTGTGGCCTAAAATAGATTGAGCCTTGAGCAAATCCATTGCCTGATTTTCAGTATTTGTTCCTGTACCACTTCTTAACCATTCCTGAATTCCTACATCAAATGGCTGAGGAACAACTTCACGGGATAATCTCTCTTTTACATTACTAAACACTCTAATAATCTCATCACATGATCTAAGAAAAAAATCAGGTTGGTTAGCCAAATTTGGTAGGTTTTCTTCTAGGTTTTTTGCCAACGTACACCCGTATAAAATCAAACCCCTGTTTTCCTCCATATTTTTTTCTGGGGTTAATTTGTGTTTGAAAAATCGTACGTTATAAGCTCATTTAAAGGAGTATTAAAAATGATTAAGAGTATGTTTCTGTGTTGGTGCCTTATGGGAAAAAATGCACAAAATTATTCAAAGTATTTGCAAATTTTGAACACGCTGAGTAGAAGAAACTTTACGAAATTATGACCAAGTCACTGGTCTAATTCCTAGCAATTTTTCATGTTCTTGCCCACCGCAAGTCCACGAGAAGACTTGGCCTCATTGAACCAAAATGAAAGGTCCGATGAAGAATTTTCTTAAGTTTGAAAATTTGACTTACAATATAACTAATATGGGTGAAAGGTAATTTGAATTATTTTCTAAAATGGGTTAATTAGTAGTGGGATCAAGATAAATAATATGGTAATTAATTAGATTATCTGTGTGGAGTTTGAAAACTTGACTTCATAAGTTAAGACCATCTGGAACTAGAAAACTTTATGTCAGATTCTTGAATTTTAATACTTTATAATTTCTTAGAAACTGCCCATGACAAATGTTTTTGTTCCTTGGTAAATTTAGGATACCTTGGAACTTTCCTCTTCTTGTTCCTAGCTTGTCGGGGAAATTGCGGTCGCAATTCTCAATCTTTAACAATTACGTCTATACCCTCATTTTATTTTCCTCTAGTACTGCCACCAACAATCCCCCACCACCATTCCAATATTTTCTTCAATCGACTATCAAAGATTTTTGGACTTCTAGGATCTACAACACGCACATGATACAATTTAGGCTCAAGCGTCCTTTTTTCGAGTGTCATGGTCGAGTATACGTGAATCCTTTGCTGACGTAGGTCGTGTAGCACTAATTTTGAATAGTACTACTCCACTTTCATTAAGTCCATGGCCTTATAGTTGAATTAGTAAAGTCAGTTTGAAAATTGAGGGTTTGCTCCCTTTGTGGAGTCCAGGACTTGTTTTATGTTCCTTGGGGCAACAATATCTCCATTCCACATTACGTTTGAAAATATCAAAGAACTCAAAAACATGTTTGTAATATGCATGTGCCTCTTAAATTTTTGAACATGCCAAACGCTACGATACTTTAAAAAGAAAATATTCTTATATTTTTACATTTGATCTTTATTCGAATACATATATCACTAAGAAAAAATGCCGAACTCTTGACTGAAAAACATAAAATAAGTACCATGAAAATATGTTTTGATTTAACTTTTTGTCTGATCAACAAGTATTAATATAGACTACTCGATATTTTTTTTTGGCACCTCTAATTTTAACATAAATTTGTAATATAATAGACTTGCTCAAACTTTCAATTTCAAAGTCTAACAAACCAAGAAAGGGATAAATGGCGGGCCATCTCGAATTGAAATGTTAATAAAATTATTCAAATGTTGACCAAGCAAAATTATTTGTTGGCAGTGAAGCACACGCGCATGTAGAGATAAAGCTAAACGCATCCCAACTTTATTTTAGGCCTGTTCGACAGTAGTTATGAGAATTGATTTTTTAATTATTAAAGATAGAGTGAATCTTACTTGTGAGTGAGAAAGTCAAAATTGACGATTGAAATAATTAAATAACGATTAAAAAATTGATTTTTTTGATGAAAAATTGTTATTGGGCTTTAAGTAAAATTTGAGTTTTTTTTTTTTTGAAGATAAACCATCATATTTTTTAAACCATATGTTCTCAAGTTTCACCAAAAACGTACACACTATAAACAAGTAATTATTTTCGTTCTTAAAATAAAATAAGTATTTTTTTTCTAGTCTTGAGGAAAATTATGTGTACGAACAACTAGAATAGGGTATTTTCAGTTTTGTCTTGAGGAATTTGCTTCTTTTGAAGGCTGAAATGAAAAAAATAACCTTGCCATAGGTACAGGGATTTAAATCTCTGTACCTACTGAACACTCACATTCAAAGACGGAAATTTTTTTTTCCAATATTTTATACACGGGCCCACTCTCATGTGAGTGAGAATTCAAAAATCTGGCAAAAATCTGGCAAAAATTTTCTGTACTTAAAGAATTTTTGTGAAAAAAATATGCTTTCTTCTGTTTTATTTTTATTTTTTTAAATTTTATTTAGAAGGTCTCCTAAACCAAACCATAATATTATTTGAAAAAAAAATACTATTTGCAATTGTTCACTATCGTAGTCTCCTACATGACATACATGTGATGGTTAGTAATTTAATGCATGAAAAAATAAAAAAATTATAATATTAATGTTAATGATTTGAAGCATAAAGCAATAAAAACTACCATAACAATATATCAAATCACTACCACAATATGTATATCATGTAAGACTACTACGATACTAAATGATTGCAGATAGTATTACTCTTGAAGAAAACATCTTGAGTTTCTTCTTTCGTACTATTTTATGTCATGTGAAGTGTCATATAAATTAACTATGATAGATAGTGTCTATAAATAGTATTACTCTTTATTTTTATTTTTTTTTCAAGCTAAATTTTTGGAACGACTATCTTTTAGCATTATATATATTTTATTTGTTAAACGGTTTTACGATTTCAAATTGTTTTTAACAATTTATATCTATTCCAAGCTATTATGATTTACGAAGAGATTTGATTTGGTCCAAAACTAACATGTTGACATGTCCATGTAGACCCACGTCAAACCGTTTCAATTCAATTAAAGCTTTGATAGTTTTTTTTTTTTTTACTCCTAAATTGTTATTTTCATCAATTTATATTCCCAAATTAGTGACGACCCTTGAGTTTCAACAAACTCACTAGCAACCTAAATTCTACATGCACTCGAAAAATGATTTTGAAAATCAAACATATATAGAACATCTGATCGCTCGTGAAAGTTAGAGTAAGGGTGGAATAGGGTAGGATAGGCTGGGAAGATGAATAATTTTATTCTTTGTTCTTTTTTTGAGCATTAAAAGTTTACGAAAACAAAACAAAATTAAAAAAACACCCAAAATCCAAAACTATTCCCAAAAAAAAAAAAAAAAAAAAAATTTGAAGCAAAATTGGGCCCCCTAAGGGTTTTGGGCCTGAGGCTGAGGCCTCAAATGCCTCAGCCCAGGACCGGCCCTGGTGACGACCCTTGAGTTTCAACAAACTCACTAGCAACCTAAATTCTACATGCACTCGAAAAATGATTTTGAAAATCAAACATATATAGAACATCTGATCGCTCGTGAAAGTTAGAGTAAGGGTGGAATAGGGTAGGATAGGCTGGGAAGATGAATAATTTTATTCTTTGTTCTTTTAAATTTTTTTTGTGAGAAATCGCTATCTAACTCTAAACTTCTATAAAATGGATATATTAGAGTCGCGATTACATTTTGTCAATTTAGATAGATTCCGTCCATAAAGACTTGCACCATTACATATGTAAAGGATGGAAGTCCGAATGATGACAAGAATAATGCTACATGTAGCACAATTTATTATCCATGTCTATAATAACATTTCACAGAGGAGAGAGACCTCCACTGTAATTTTCGTAAAATGACGTCACCTCGGGGAACAAAAACCTTACCATACACCGCCATGCACAGAATCAAGTATAAACTACAATTTTCATAATTTTTTTTAATTTTTTTTTGCAATTACGAGTTTCGATCTATAATCCACTGCTTCGCATACTCCCTTCATCAGATCCACCCTTTCCCTCTCGAACTCTCTGTGTAATAATATACTGTTTAATTGCTGTACTGGAATTTCCCGAAGAGATTTGATCGGGTCGTGCCTGGAAAGATGCTGAAATTCCTGAAAGGTGTGGTGGGCGGATCGGGTGCGGGCCTCAAAGATCTGCCATACAACATCGGCGAGCCTTACTCCTCTGCTTGGGGCTCCTGGGTTCACTGCCGTGGCACCTCCAAGGTTCTCTATTTTTTCCATTCATTCTTCTCACTATATACACGTGTGTATATGTTTCACAGTTTTTTTTTTTTTTTTTTTCTGGGTTTTCATTGAATTTGTTAAGTTCATTCTGATTTTTTTTTTAATTTCCCTTTGTTAATTATGGGGTCAATGCTCTTACTGAAAAGTGTATTCATAATGCTGTTATCCAATTTATTTTTGTTGCAACAAAATTTGATTTTATGGAATAATGCAGCTGGAAGTGATGATCGGACAAAAGTAGTTATGATTTTACTGAGACTAGACCTAACTGGAGGTTAATATATTTTAACAATTTCTGTATCAGCAATGATGTTTGTCCAGGCTCGAATACAGGTGGAAAAAACTTGGCAGCGCGTTTGTTGTTTTTTATTTTTGAAACAATCCAACATGTGCACCTTGTTTCTGAACCTGTTTTTTAGTCTGTTTGTGTAGCATCTTTCATTTGTGTATATAAGAAACATAGTGGCAGAGTATTCGGGAAAAGGTTAAAAAATTCCCTATTCTAGTTATCTGAAGGAAAATATTAAAAAATAAATAAATTAGGGTGGTGAGGAGAATTCCGACATCTGGATAATGAGTAGTTTCATAATTATAAGTCAACTCAAGCATGACAATAGAACAGGAAGAGCTTTGTCCAGCATTGCTCTGACCCATTGATCTACCATTCAAGGAAATTTACAACCTATACCCTATAAAACATTTTTAAGTATATGTTTGGTTAGAATTCATCGTGTTAAGCGGGAAAGGGGTCAAGACACTCTCGGGTCGCTGGCAGTTGGGTTTAGTTTTACTGATTTAATGGAATCAATGGGAACTATTTCGATGAAAGTACAAAGGAGTTGCTTTGTGCACACAAACTCTGTGATAGTGGATATTTTTAGCTTTCGAGGCTTTGTTTGGTGGATGGATGAAAATTTCCTGCGCTAGAAAGTAGTCTTGGGCTAAAAAATATCTCAACACTTGATTACAATACCTATTAGTCATTTCCTCTTTTTAGAGTTCGTGTATCATTTTTATAGAATGAACATAGTGAAATGAGGAGGTTAAAATGGATGCATGTCATACTAGAGTTGATAAGATAATAAGTAAGAGCATACGCCATCAACTAACAAGTAGTGGAGACAACAATGTCTTAAAATGTTCAATCAGGTACTGAGGTTTTTTACATCTATGAAGCAAGTCATAAATCTTCAGAAAAACTAATAAAATAATATGAAATAAAAAATACTCTATAATAAACCATAAATGAAATTGACCTTCAATATAAAACAAATTGATAAAATTAAAAATCCAACAAACATAAAATAAATCAATAAAGTAGAGATAATAAGTTCTCAAATATACTACTATATGTAGAAACTGGATAGAAGTCTCCAGTATCATCACTGCTAATAGGAACTGCTTGCGAATTGTCAACATATATGAATCCCATAGGGCCCTATCATCCTCCTCGTCACTGTGAATATCTTCTCATTCTTTGTTATCATTCTCTTGCAATGGTGTCTTCCCTTCCCCCTCTGTTAAGAATTAGGAAAAAATTGTTTTAGATTATAAAAAATTAGTTCATAAAATTGAGGTCAGTAATTAAAAAGCTCAAAATGGCAAGACAAACAAGCATGCTCCATAGTGGTTCTGAGGCTTGGGTGTAAAGCCTCTGGAAATTGAGGCATAAGTCTTGACCAATAGCACATAAGGTGTAAAATTTGGAGGGCAACCAAAATATGCTCAATATCTTCGTTGTTCACTTCACTTTTTCCTCTCAGAGTTTCTAGCAAGTAATGTATCAGAAGAGTATGAGAACCATATTTTGCATCCGTCAAATCTTTATTCAAGAAAATACTACCAACATGTTATACATATCATTTATTTCTCAACTATGTGATCCTATAGTTATATTTTTTCATTAATTTCTGATGGAGTATATTGAATGAAGATTCATAATCTGTCAATAAATAATGCTTTACAAAGTTAATTTCTGTGTTCTGTAGATGTACAAGTGTGCATTCACACAGCCTTGTACAAGCAGAAATGTCCATATTTTCATCCTTCCATGTCATTGCTAATTTTCAATGTCAAGTTTTTCCAAGTTCTGTTGGGTATGGATTGTTTTAATAGATTTATTCTCTCTAAAAATAGCTTACGTGGTATTGTTTACTCATTTAGAACTGATTTACTACTTGCAAAATTTGAGTATAGCTGATGATTTTATAATCACCAATCATGATCATGAAGCACATATCCTTTTTTTCTTCTAAATTGAGTTAGCACTACCTTTGCATCTCCATGCAGCAAGAATAGATCATATGAGTTTTTCATATAGGTTGTGCTAGAATGTATAGCCACATTAGTGGATTTTTTAATTTTTTTTTTGGTTATAATTATAGTGATAGTATTGAAATATAAGCCCTGTAATCATTATTCTCTTTTTTCCATTTTGTTTAACAGGACGATGGGACTCCTGTATCAATATTTTCTCTTTCAGGAAGCAATGCAAATGATGGTCATTTAGTTGCTGGTCGCAATGGTGTCAAGCGCCTTCGAACAGTAAGTTCTGGTTGATGCGTTTTATTTAGGGGAAACCTAGTATTAACTTTTTGTCATTTCCTGTAACTTTTTTTTTTTATTTTTATCTGGAACACAGCAGTTCCTACTTAGATGAAGGCTTCCACTGGCTCAGTGGTGCAAAATAGGTTGAATTCTAATGACTTGTTACGGGGAAAGAAACCTAGTCACTTGATATTATTGTTTCGGCACAACAATCCAATTTTTAGAAGTGTAGTCCTTTTTTATCAATTTCTGAATGTAATACAAGATACAATGGTTATATTATCCAATGAACTTATAAGCATGTAAAACACATTCTTCCCTTTTAAGTAGTGATCATCATTTAACATTATGGACCGACAAGAACAGTATCCCACATTTGCTTAGTGCCTGATACTATAGCTTTGTTGCTCTTCTCATCACCTTATAAGTATACATCTTTCTTGAATAATCATTATCTTCACAAGATTGGTGGAGACAATATTGCCTTTGCATCATTGTCACTTGTGTCCGTTATGCTAATAATGATACTTTGTACAAATTTTCAACCTTACTGTGCAAAGCGTTTATGTTTCCTTGAGAATATCAACTGCATAATTATACTTTTGTCTCTTTGATTTGAAAAACCAATTAATTTTCTAGCCTTTTTTTTTTTTTTTTTTTTTTTTTGGGGGGGGAGAAACTGTCATTTTCATGAATTTATTTATTTTTTCCATGGGAGGAAAATTACCACCTCAAAAGTATCCTTTCTTGGTTATGTGATTAATCTTTTTAGTTTTTTTTGCTATAATGATGTAGCATCTGAACTTGCTTTAACTTGGGTATCAATTTTACGGACTTGGCATCAAAAGAAATGAAGTAGGTGATAGCCCGAGAGACGAAATGCAATATGATATCATAAGGGATAATTGATCGATTGTAGCTTAAGAGCGTACGTGGAGACGAAAAATTGGTTCTGTTAATTACAAGCTGTTAAGAGCAAAGAAAATCAAATAATGCTTCCTTGGTTAGCAATAATTTGGGAAATCCATGTAAGTGAAAAAGTTGTGATTACAAGGGGCTGTCATATGAATCGAAAATCGTGAATTACCTTACTAAAAGAAAAGACAAAGCAAATGCATCCAATTAGTGACAATATATATTACATTCAAATTTATATAACAAATAAAGGCTTGAAGGAGTACTTTGTAGGCCAATGAGCTTGTTTCTGAGGCTTCTGCATCTAATACAGTGGTATGGGAAGAACTCTGGCCCCATTGCAAGTCCGCGATTTTGATGTATCAAAAGTGTAATTCTTATTATTTTGTACACTTCTCGAAGTATGGTGAATATATTTATATTATTGGTTTACACATTATTCTTTGTTGTCCTAGAGCTGAATGACATATCTTCTTTCAGGTTAGGCATCCAAATATTTTGTCGTTTCTTTACAGTACTGAGGCAGAAACTTTTGATGGTTCAAACACAAAGGTTACAATCTACATTGTCACAGAGCCTGTTATGCCTCTGTCTGAAAAGATTAAGGAATTGGGATTAGAAGGCAGCCAAAGGTGTAGATATTGTTATTCCCTTGCTCTTGTTATTTAACTTTTAGTGGCCCTGATGGAAACAAGTAAAAATTGTTCATATGAATATTACACATACAAATCGCACTTAACGTATAATTATGTATTTCTTTGTGTAATGCTATGGAGGCATGAGGACATCTTGTTCTCTACTTGTATACTCTCATTCTCATCGCTTAATATAACTTTTTTTAGTTATCTTTTTTAATGAAAATTGTGCAATCTGTATTTCATAGGTATTTATTCATTACAGTTGTATCTGCAAATCTGAGTGGGTAGTTTGCTTTTGTATATTGGAGTTACAATATGCATAATTAATTGCATTTTTTTTAGTTTTTGCTACATTTAAATCTCTCTGAGATATTTTTGTAATTTCCGAGTCTTCTCCTTTTGTATGCTAGGCTATAAAAATCAACTTCTAGTCTTTTACTTTTCTCTTATGGCAGGGATGAGTATTATGCATGGGGACTGCACCGGATAGCTAAAGCTGTGAGCTTCCTAAATAATGATTGTAAATTGGTATGTAATCAAGTCATTTTTTAGCTGTTTTCTTTACATTCCAATATTTGAAGGCAAGTTGACATTCTAATTTGCAGCTTGAATATTTTTTACACGTTCTCATTAAGCTTTAAACAAGTTCTAACTTTTGTTGGAAGACATGCATTATTTGTTGATTTTCTTTGCTCTGTTAGCTAGATAAATTAAAAGAAGAGTTTCAAAAAGAGTGATATTTTAGTTGCTGTGGCATGAAGCATGCCCGATAACGTTTTTATGGCACAAAATGAAGCTCCCTGAAGAGCTATAAAGCTTTCCTTACCTGTGACCTAATTATTAACCAGTGAAGATCCTCTCTATGGAAGTAGACATGGTTTTCTGTGTCAGTTCATAAAATGTTTAAACTTTGTTAGGATCTACTTTATGACTATATGATGGTTATTTTTCTGCTGCAATTTCTTTTATTCACCTGGTTTCCTGCTTTTTAGCAATATATAACTAATGGTTTTCTGTTTGGCTACTGCAGGTTCATGGTAATGTTTGTATGGCTAGTGTTGTTGTCACTCAAACTTTGGACTGGAAATTACATGCATTTGACGTTCTGTCTGAGTTTGATGGAAACAATGAAGCTTCGGCAGGGCCAATGCTGGTAAGTAATGAGTTTGGCTGTATCTCTTCTTCGGTTCTTTCAACATAGTTTGTGGTGCACAAGCTCAATTTTAGCTAGCCCTGCAGAGGGAGGAAAACTAAAATTGTTGCAGAGTGTATTTATCATTATGAATTAAAATCCTGTTCTTTACTGAATATTATTACTACCAAACATATTTCGAAATAAAAGTTTCCATATCCAAAATTTTCTTGGCTTGGTGATTTTGTGAAAGCAATATGCAAGACTGCATCATGCATGAAAACATATTTATCTGCTGATGAAAGCATATACAGAACCACACAACTTAATGAATGCATTTACTGTTTCTATTAAAAGAATCTTCTCTGTGTTTTATCCTTGCACAATATTTTTTATCATAGATGACAGTTGTTCCACCAAATGGTACTTCTATGATATTTAGGAATATGTTGTAAGAGAATATTCCTTTCTCTTCTGACATCTATTTTACTGAGAGAGATTGCTGACACATTTGATTAGTCTTGCTGAAAATTGTATTATGATGATTTTCATTCTATTAGCGGTCATTGGCTGATTTTGATTTATAATTCTTTCATTTTTGACGAAGCAATATGAATGGCTTATTGGTTCACAATACAAACCAATGGAGTTGTCAAAATCTGACTGGACAGCTATCAGAAAATCTCCACCTTGGGCTATTGATTCTTGGGGTCTGGGTAAGTGTTCATTTGCCCCCTTACTATATGAGTTCTCGTGCAAACATTTTTAACAAATATATTTAGCCCCTTTTTGTTGCCCATTTTGCACTCTTATTTTAGAAAAAATTTACCCTTTACCAGTCCTTTTCACTGACAATGTACATGATGTGTTACTGTACACAAACAGTTTTTTATACCCCAATTCCTTTACTACCCTCAACAGTGAGCAAAAATTATGGGAGGTGGAAAAGTCAAAAAAGACGGGCTGTTGAAAGCAAATGGGGGTTCGGGAAATTCAAAAATCGTACTAGTCAATTCAAAAATACATGTCATCATGTGGGACCCCATGTTAGTAGAAGAATGCATTTTTTTGGGTGGAAATGGGAACCAAACGGGGGCTTAGAGACTAAGTAATAATTTGATATGCGATTTATTTATTTATTTATTTTTTGTCCAAAGTGAAAAATGTCCACTGCTAAATGCTTTCATTTGTAAGGCATTCTTTGTACATCAAACGTCTAATTTAACGTTTTTAAAAATGGTCTGCACCTTCCACTAGTCGTTTTCGCTGCTCAGGAGTCCCCCGAATGGCTTTGGAGTAGTTGGGATGACTGGGAGGATAGTTGAAAACACAACATGAAGGCAATATGGGGAGATGAGGGTAGATGTTGAAGAACAAGATATGTTTGTGAACGAGATGGGGGTATTTTTGGAATATCAACCTAGAGGAGGACGTTCTACTGAAAATTTTTTGGCTATTTTTCGATTTTCTCTTATCTCTCCAACTAGGTCTTTCTGAAGAAATTTCCTTTATGATGCAAGAGAAATTTTTTAATCTTGATTAGCCTCAAACTGATGTTGAATATGATTTGAATGCTATAAGCATCTGTATTTGAGATACTATATTACGTGTCAATTATAGCTGTGTAATTACCTGTAAAACAAAGTCCATACATGGTTTTATACCTCTTATTTCTTCATCTGAGAAAATACAAGTACCTTGGCATTGACAAATAATTAGTACATCCCAGTAAATTTGCAGAAGTCTATTATCGAGTTATGACCACCTACATTTTTCCATTTGTTTTGGATGCAATATGCATCTGCCTTTGAGATACTGTAATACCTGTTTATTAGAGCTGGGTTTTGTTTGTATACCAAATTCCACATGTGGTTTTATTGTACCTCTTATTTTTCCATGTGGTAAAACTCAAGTACTTGAATGGCATGGACTGGTAATTAATACATCCCAGTAAATTTGTGAAAGTCTAGCGAGTTATGAACACCTACATTTATCCATCCATTTTGAGTTTATGAATCTAGGATAGAATCTTGTTCACGCGTCAATGAAAAATAAATGTAGGTTGGACTTCTTTCCTGCTGACAAAAGGTCACCTTTTAATCGTACTTCAGCACTTCTGTCAGTTGGTAATCTTTAAGTCCAAGTGGAATGGCTTCAAAGAACCTCTCTGACTTAAAACGAGATTCTTGAGTTCAAAAATATATAGAAAAAAGTTTTATTTTTAATTGATCTTTTTTTGAAAGTTATACTGCATTTCTCATTATAATTAATTTTATTTAAATTTTTTTATTATTTTTACTGTAGGCTGTCTTATTTATGAACTCTTCTCTGGTATGAAGTTGAGCAAAACTGAGGAGCTGCGCAATACTGCTAGCATTCCAAAGGTGATCCGGTCTTTTTTTGTTCTTTCTTTGACACTCCAGAGGTGTTGTTCCTTATTCCTTTTCTTTCTGCGCCTGGAAATTGGCTATGATTCAGCGCCTGGATGTTTGTGTATGCTTTACTCAATAGTGATCTTTTATTTATTGGTTGCTCCAACTATCATTTGAGATGATAAATTCATTTTTGTTTGGAATTGTTCATTCAGTCTCTACTTCCAGATTATCAGCGTCTCTTGAGTTCTATGCCTTCTCGCAGGTTGAATTCATCAAAGCTTCTGGAGAATAGTGGTAAGCTTTATTCTTCTAATTTTTAGTATAGAGGATGAACTTATGTTATTTAGCATCTACTCCTGGATGTTAAATATTCAGTTTGCACTTGTAGGAGTTTGTTTTTTAATTTTTTTACTCACAGCCACTGCTGTATCTATATATTTTGGGTTGTTGATAATGCTTTTAATTTAGAGATGGTGTAATTAAAATTTTATTACAAATTCGAATTATGACCAAACCAACTCAATTACTTAATCTGTGACAATATGACTGACGTGTTTGTCCTGTACTTGTTATGCTCTTAATATTTTCCGTTCTGTACAATATGTGCTTTGTTTTATGCACGTTTACTCCGCTACTTACAGAACATGTATAATGCTATATGCTAATAATTTCTGATGATTTATAATTTAGTTTGTACAAATATCGCACGTTGACATCTATAATGGTTCTCAAAGTTTGAAGAGCAATACGCAACTGCCTGTTGTACACCTCTCTTGTGTCTCTTTTCTAGGCTTGTCAATGATTGGCCATAAAAGCACTGCATATGATTAATTAAATTGATAGTAATCAAAGGTTAACATTCTCTCCTATTACATTACTTAAATTATAAATATATAGGAAAACTAGTTGTTCTAGCATATTGAGTAATTTATTCGACTACCTGGTTGCATACTTGATCTTGCTGCATTCCCCATGAATCCTCGACTTTCAGAACCCATCCCCGCAGGGGAAAAAAAATGAGGAACTCACAAAATCATTGGAGTGAAGGTAAAAACTTCCATTGTTATCCATCATTTTTATTTCTTTTTTGGTTTCAAACAAGTGAAAAAGATCACATTTGACTGTTGTCAATATTTTACTTTTGGTGGGTATTTTGGTTAAAGCATATAAAAAGGGGTCACATTAAATTAATTAATATCATCTTTTTATTTTTGATGGGTTTATTGAACTGGTTTAGTTGAACTCCATGTTTTCTGAACCTTGCTGTATCAACTTTTGCTTATTGTTTTCTCATACATAATGCCTCTAAACCTCCATTGATGGGAAGTAAGATTCAAAGATATACCAAATATTTGATGCATGACATTGACATATTGTTTTTGATTCATTTCTGGTTTTGTACGTCTTCTGTATGTGAATACATATTATTCCTTTTGATTTAACAATTCACAATCAAAACATAATCTTTCTCTGTGGTATATTGACAAGACTACTGGAACTTGTCTTGTCTTTTCTATATATATATATATATATATATTTTTTTTTTCCACTTGGTTGAATGTGTACATTCTTCCTTTTATTAATAAAAATTCCATTTGAAATAGAAATGAATTTAACATTAACATTGCTGATTCAATTTATTGTCTTCCTATGAATGTGGACTGTATTTTTCATATCCTAAAGATATCAATGATTTATTTGCAGAATATTTTCAAAATAAGTTGGTGGAGACTATACACTTTATGGAAATTCTTAATTTGAAAGACAGTGTTGAAAAGGATACTTTTTTCCGTAAGCTTCCGAATCTTGCCGAGCAGCTTCCTCGTCAAATAGTGCTGAAAAAGGTATCCTGTGGTATTTATAATGGGGAAGTTTTTCTTCATTTTGAAGTTTTTGAACCATTATATATTCGGGTTCTTGCAGTTGCTTCCCTTACTAGCATCCGCCTTAGAATTTGGTTCAGCTGCTGCACCTGCTTTGACAGCATTGTTGAAAATGGGTTCTTGGCTTTCAACAGAAGATTTTAGCCTCAAGGTTTAAATCTTTCATATAATTTTGGCAACCTTGTATTTCTTTCTTTTCCATGCCTGAGCTTTGCCATAAATTTATACTTATGATTAAACCCAGGTATTTAATTTCTTGATTTGACATTCCTAGTTAATAACCTCTATTTATAGGTATTACCAACAGTTGTCAAACTTTTTGCATCAAACGATCGTGCTATTCGAGTTGGTCTTCTGCATCATATTGATCAATTTGGCGAGTCGTTATCCTCGCAAGTTGTTGATGAACAGGTATGCAGTCATATAATGACACAATCAAAATATTCAATCTCCCCTATTATTCATTCACAATATATTATGTGGGATAATGGAGTAGCAGAGAAGTCTAATGTTTATTTGTCTAGGTTTACCCTCATGTTGCTACCGGGTTTTCCGACACATCTGCTTTTCTACGGGAATTGACACTCAAATCCATGCTCGTTCTTGCTCCTAAGGTATATGCCTTGTAAAAGGTCCTGTCTGTTTAAATTTAGTTTAAGACTTTCAAGGTATAAGATTCTCCAATAGGATTGGGATGCCTATTAATTTTATGAACATGCATGAATTTGACGAATTTGCTGAAGGCCTGCAATTCTTGTTTGTTTCTGTAAGTTGTTAAATTTGTTTCCTTAAAAAGTTCTTTCTCGAATCTCCACTTCTGTTTGCTCATTGCTACTTTGTTGATAGCCATTTGAGTAGTCAAGAAATCTTCTCTGTTGATCATTCATAGATTTTATAATCTATTGTACAGTTATTTCTCAGAGGTGTATGCACCCGGTGTAATAGTTGATGTTAGGAACATTTTTTCTGTTTGGTAGTTGGTTATTTTATTGAATTTTGGATAATTAGAAATATGAAGTTTAGTGATTGCTGGCATCAGATTGTGGGATAAATCAATAGATGCATGGATTACCTGCTGGTTGAGCTAGCATCATCTGGTTTTGATTCCTGATACCTCTTTTATATTTTTGTTTCTTTTTCCTCTTTACAGTTGTCTCAGCGCACTATATCAGGGTCATTATTGAAATTCCTTTCAAAACTGCAGGTATACATTTATAAGTTAAGCAGTCAATGTGTAAATAGACCTGACATTCCATTTGCTAAAAAAGTTAAATTTATTCGTGAGTTGTGCACATTGATACAGAAGATATGGTTTACTTTTCTATGGATTTAGGTTGATGAAGAACCAGCAATTAGAACAAATACTACCATATTGCTCGGAAATATTGCAAGCTACCTTAACGACGGGGTCAGTGCGATGTTCCTCCATTTTTCCCTTTTCTATAACATATCTATAAGCCTGAAGAAATTGATTGTTGAGTTAGTCAATTGTCAATTGTCATACATTACTTGGATTAATCAATCTGTGAGAAAAATTGCTGCTTAAGAATTCACTACGATGCAGATGAGGAAAAGAGTTCTGATAAATGCATTTACAGTTCGAGCTTTGCGTGATACATTCTCTCCTGCCCGAGGAGCAGGTAAAGCTTGCTCTGTCTTCTTGACCTCATTTTAGGAAAAGTTCAATGTGCTATTGAGTTGATTGTGCCAAGCTGAGACAACTCTAGGTTAAGACAACAGTCTTCCTTCAGTAACTCCAAATCTCTTTCTCTTTCTCCTTTCCCAATATAATAAACCACCTTTGTGCCAGGTATTATGGCTTTATGTGCCACTAGTTCTTACTATGACGTTACTGAGATTGCAACTCGAATTCTACCAAATGTTGTTGTACTCACCATTGATCCCGACAGGTATTCCTTTTATTAAGTAGAATAGTCCTAGTTTTCTCTCTTTTGAAGTATCAGATTCTCCTCTTCATTAGAAATTTTAATTCTGAGTTTCACACTTTTATGTTAAAAGATAAGACATTCTTGGACATCTTTTCATGTTTTCCCTTTCATATATAAAACAATTACCAGCGATGTGCTTACTGAAAATAATGGTGGCTGCCCTCATTACAATCTTATTCCTTTTCGTGATAACTATAATTCCACAGTTGATTGAT